CTGAAAAAGGATGTTCAATGTTCCTCTTGTATGATCCACAGCTGGGATATAAGGTTGTTTTCAAAGAGAACTTTGGGGTTATGTACATGAAAATATGGCAATACTAGAAGAAAAGAATGTGTCGGTCTTTGCAATCTGAACATAAATTAGGGATTAGATTCCTTTAAGTTTTCACAAGTTTTTGTATCTATAGGTTTGTCTGAATGTCAGCATATTGGAACAGAGCCTATTAACTGATTTTATTATATTTTAATCAGTCTCCGTAATGAGAGAACAACACAGCTGGATTCATTTTATAATACAACCTCAAAATACTTGGTCATGAGTTGGCTACCATAAATAATACCTAGCTGTTCAACTTACAGATATATCACTTCATATTAAAAGCTCTATCAAGAATATCTGATGATAACAGCAAGAAAATCTCCAAAAGGAGGAAGTTTTGGGTTTGTTTCACTTTTTAAACACAAGATTTTGTTGGCTCCTGCATATTTAAACTTGAATAACAGTTCTGACCTGGTGCAATTGGCAATTTGCAAGAATAGAAGCATTTCCAACCTCTGGATGCAAGTCATGGAGGGCCAAAGCAACCCCTCAACTCAGAGCTGATGGGGAGGGAGATACATTGAAGCACTAATAAGAAAGAGCCCAGCATTTTGCAGGAGCTGGATATTTATATGCTCCTTAAAGTCTGCTCAGCACATCTGTGTCCTCATTTCATTCATGAGAACTGCATATGGATGTGTCAATCCAGACAGTTTTTTTCCTCTGGAGTATGCAAAATGCTGGTAAGCTCTCCAGATGGACTGGTCTCTTCCTGAGACCTCTCCTGATGCCTGCTCCTTACTGAGGGCAGAAACAAAGAATAAAGTCAGCAAGAACAGTTCTCTTCTCAGCCTTTAAGGCTGATCTGATTTCTAATGTCACTCAGAAGCTGAAAGAAGTTGATGAAGATATAGATGTTTTTTAATGTAAAGAAAAGTAATGTGAGTTGATGTATATTCATGTAGCAAATGGTTCAAAACTCCAAGCTGATCTGAAACTTGCTTTTTGGAACAGTATTTTTAGTACACATTCAGTCTAATTCTGCCTTCCTGCCTGTGTTTCAGACTTGAAACACTGTTCGTACCACCAGAACTTACATGGGACAAATCAGTGCAAAGTAAATGGCACATCAGACCCATGATTGATATCTAAAGGGTATTTTTATTATTTTGCATTTGTTCAGTACACAAAAACCTCAATTTTCTCTAGGCATTCTCACATTAGAAAAGCAGACTTCAATTTCAATTAAATATGCATTATTTCCTCTCCTCAAAGCATCTAATTTTATTTATTATCCTTTTTTTTTTTTTTTTAATTTATCTTTCAAATATTTCTGTGTGAGCCTTTTTAAAGGAGGAGGGTTTCATCATTCATCTAGGTCTAACAGGGATATTTTGATTTCTGATGGCACGAACATGAGATTTGACGGAGACTCATTTAGATGGATTCAGTCAAATGACTAATTAATGTGACATCAACACAGCCTTGGAAAATGTATGAAACATAATTGTTCCTGTCAACTCGTGACAGTCTCATTCACTGCTCCAAGCTGAGGTTATCAAGGCCCTTGTTTTGTTTGGTTTTTAGCACATCATCTTTCCTAGTCCAAGATTTCTTTCACTGTAAAATGTAGATCAAACTTACCCAGAGTTTTCTGTCAGGGCTGCATTATTTTATACAATTTTCCACTGAAAAACTGCACTTGCAGTGTTTGCAAAAAGGAAAATAACTCCAGGTTTCTCAGTTGTTTCTTACTGCTTCAATTTAATTTGGACTTTACATGCATTTTTATTTTTTTTTTAAGAGGAAAGAAATGAAATAGAAATCAAATTCTTGCTCCCATATCCTCTTTTGGGAGTCTGGGGTTTACATTTTTCTGTGAAAAAATAAAAAAGAAATAGTCCTGTGATTAATAAAATACTGTCCTCCAGTGATTTTTTTCTGGTTGAGTAAGTAAAGCAACATCAGTTCTTTACACAACAACAGAGGAAATGCAATCTATGCAAATCACTTAGAACAAAATCACAGAAGAAGACAATAATGTAATTACAGCTCAACAGCTGCCATTCCCCAATTATTGCATAATTACAGTAGCTCTAGACACGGAAGCTGAAGTCACTGCTTTGATTTTGTACAGACTGTATTTTAATGTTCATGCAACCAGATGAAGTACAGCAAGTTTCAGGAATGACCTGAAACATCATTCTTTCCTGTTATCAGTCTTGCTTCTGCCATCCCACCAAGACTAACCCACTCTCTGACTGAGACAGATGTTTCTAGAGCTCTGAATTAATGTAATGAATTGCATTTTCTCATGCACTAGTGCTGTTAGGAAATCAAACCTCAATGGAGAGGTTGCCAAAAGTGCTCATTACTGAGTAGTAAATGTGTCTAGACTGCTAATGATACCACCATCTTCTCTTCTGTAGGTACCCCTACAATTTGTGTCACTGTCTGGGCAGTGCTGAGACTTCACTTTGATGATACTGGGTAGGTATCTGCATGGGAAACCTTGCCACATGCTTCAGCACAATGGCAAGGGTGAAACAGAAATACAGAGATCTGAGGCCATGACTCATTTCTCCTTCCATTTCTGACCTTGATTTGTGTCTGCAAGTAGTTTAGGTCCAGTGTTCAATCTAGTGTGCTGTGTTGTTCAGCTGCATAAATAACCATAGACTGAAGAGAAAATTTAAAGGTCCCTTCCAACCCAAACTATTTTATGATTCTGTGATGTTTTTGTCTCTATTGCAGTGATGAATTCATGAAAGAAGGATTAGACATCTACCCTGTAAATGCATTTAGTGGAGAGGGTTTTTTCTACACATCTAGTAGGGAAGTCGAGTAGAGGTGAGACAGAAATCCCCACCCTGTCTTCTGTGTGAAGAAAACCAAAACAAAACACAGAGGAAATGGAATAATTTCTGAAGGAATTCAAGATGGTAGATTCCATCCAAATGG